TCTCTCTCTCTCTCTCTCTTTCTCTGTCTCTCATGAATAAATAAATAAAATCTTTAAAAAAAAATTTGTCTTCACTAAGGTCAGAGGTAAAACTCTGGCTAATTTCATGAGGAGTAACTGGACTCATCCCTCTGGCTGGGGCCAGACCCTGGGGGAGCTGGGGTTCTGAGTTGTAGGGAGGGAGGCCCGGGTTAAGAAGCCCCTACTTCAGGGGCCCTGGGTGGCTCAGTTGTTAAGCGTCTGCCTTCGGCTCAGGTCATGATCCCAGGGTCCTCAAATCAAGCCCCGCATCGGGCTCCCTGCTCCGTAGAAGCCTGCTTCTGCTTCTGCTTCTGCTTGTGTTCCCTCTCTCGCTGTGTCTCTCTCTGTCAAATTAATAAATAAAATCTTTAAAAGAAAAAAAAAAGAGTGACAGGGCTGGTTCCTGAAATGCGGCGAGAAGTCAGGGGTTCTCAGGGGTTCTTGGGGGACAAGAGGTGAGTAGAGGAGTGGGGAGCAGGCAGCCAGGCCAGCGAACGACCAGGAGTGAAGACAAATAGTCAACTGTTTTTAAGTTTTTCCTTTTTCTGCACTGCATTTCCCACTCCCTGAGCTGTCAACCACAAGCCTTCGGTAAAGTTAGGCTAAATGCTACAGTTCGAGATTGACTATGTTTGAGGGCATGAATGCGGGGGCCGTGTCCAGGTAAAGTGCTATGTGGAGAGCCATGGAAGCCTGGAGACAGGATTACAAAGTTGCTCGACGTGACCATCAGGGAGGCTGCCCAAAAGCTAGGCCACAGTGTGGGGAACCACGGTAGAGATCCCCAGGGATTCCTGGATCTATAGCAGGAGGAAACGGCATCTCCACACTCAAACGGCGGGGAGTGGAGCACAGAGCTGTCATTGCGTGTTCAAAGAAATGGTGGTCACCCAGGGATATTTGGGATATAAACAGATTAACTACCCCCCCACCCCCACCCCACACAAACTCCCAAGGATGTTTAGGCTGTTTTGAGCTATTTTGGACTGTGATAATTTGGATAGAATATTTTGAACAGAAAAATACTCTCCACGTCCAGGCCCACTTCTTTTATCTCAAAAGCTCAGAAGAGACCTATGGTATAGGACCAAACCCTAACAAGTAATTGCCTCTGGCTGGCTGACGTCAGTTAATGACTAGACTTTGTACCCAAAAGCGAGTTAAAACTAAAGACGGCTGAGGGGAAGTCATTTCCTCCTTGGATTGCCCAGTAAGAACATCTAAAATGAAAGACTTTCTTTGTCTCACTCTTCTCAGCCTTCTTTATATTGTAAACTCAGGTAAGAAAACATTTTACAATTTTTTTAAATGATTGCTATTTTTACATTTTATTTTATTTAAGATTTTGTTTGAGAGAGTGAGTGTGCAGGCACAAGAGGGGGGGAGGGGCAGAGGGAGAGGGAGAAGCCGACTCCCTGCTGAGCAGAGAGCCCGATGCTGGACCCCGGGATCATGACCTGAGCCGAAGGCAGATGCTTAACCGACTGAGCCACCAGGCGCCCAACCTTTTACAATTTTTAATTCTTTTAATCACGTTTGCTGTCTTGGAGATAGAACCAGGAGGCTTAAGGTACCACAGGCTAACTAGTTTCTGACTCTGCTCAAAGACATACGGCATTTCAGTCTGTGGTGAAGGAAGACAGAGCAGAAGTCAAGGGGCCTCTGGACTACGGGGTGTGGGGTTCAGCAAGTCAGAGATTTGTCCTCCAGAGTTCCTCAGGCCAGACAAGAACAAATCAGTAGGTTCCAAGGGCCTGGTGCCGGGTAGCCTTTCCTTTGGCCCCCAAAGGGCCTGGTTTAATCTCTGGTTCTAGCATCAAGAGTCTTTCGTCCCCCTCCACATGGGAATTAAGGCTTACCTCTGGGCAAATCCCTAAACCCCTCTGGGTATTGGTGGGCTCGTCTGTCAAATGTGGATGCTCATATCAATTTCACAGTTACTATCTGGCACAGGGTAAGCCCTTGTTAGATGAAAAGAGAGGCAGAAATAGGTCAAGATGATGCGCTGGTGAACTGTTTTCTTGCTCCTGGAAAAGCAGTTGTTTTTATCTCTTCAACCTTTAATGATTCTTTGAGCCAGGCCCTGTTAAAGGTGAAGAGCCAGATTCTGCCAGCCTGGGCTCACAGACCCAGGGGCCATCAGCAGGTTTTTTGTTTTTTGTTTTTTGTTTTTAATATCTGAGGGTTTAGGAATTGCTTCCTCACTCAAACTTTTTTTTTTCCTTACTAAAGCATTTAATAATTTTTTTAAACTGGTTGTCAATGTCAGAGTTCTTTGAGACAATGAAGGGTTCTAGAAGACTAATCACTGGACCACTAAGTGTTTACTATGCCATGTGTCCAAGGGTTCCTAAGAGTTGAAAAAGGCAACTCTGATGATCACTGTAGCCCTTAGGGCAAAGATCATCTCTCTTCATTTTACTCTTTAAAAAAATAATGTGTCTAAAATTATTAATGGGTAAATAACACTAGAAAAAAAACTTGGGGAGGAAGTTTAATACACACTTACCTAAGTATTTTTATTTCATCATTCTTTTAAACACACCCCTTTCCCAACCCTCCCTAAAATGCCATATAATTGGGAAATGAGGACGATTGCCTTAAACTGTAAAGACAAAAGGAGGCCACTTTCAGGTCATAACTGCACCCCCTGCTGGTGCTTTCCGTTGTCTCACAGAGGACTACTCAGGAGTGTTAAACCCAGATTCATAGAGTTCTGCAACTGCAGGCAGAAGCGATGTTACTTCTTGGTACTCATCTTCATACATACTAACTTTTTGTGACAGATTTCAGTAACACTTTTCCGGTTTTGTCTGTTTAATTTTTACTTTTATTTATTGTGGGGTTTTGTGTGTGTGTTCGAAGTAGTCCTGTATTTTCATGTTGTTTTTTTTTTTAAGATTTTATTTATTTATTTGTCAGAGAGAACACAAGCAGGGGGAGGGGCAGGCTGAGGGAGAAGCAGGCTCCCCACGGAGCAGGGAGCCTGATGCAGGGCTCGATCCCAGGACCCTGGGATCATGACCTGAGCCAAAGGCAGATGCTTAACGACTGAGCCACACAGGCGCCCCACGTACTTTCATTTTTAGTGTAGTCAGCTGTATTTGTTTTTCAGAAAAGAATGATTGGGTACTAACTAGTATTAAATAATAGCAATTGCCATTATGTACTGAATGTTCTGTCTTCTGAAACTTGGTATCTCTGTTCCCCCAGCAACCCAGTCAACAACACTTACCCCCAGTTCAAGCATGACTACCAGTGATCTTATCACAAGTGATACCACCACCACAACTTCTACTCCCACCTCACCAACTCCATCTAATTCTACTCCCACCCCACCAACTCCATCTAATTCTACTCCCACCTCACCAACTCCATCTAATTCTACTCCCACCTCACCAACTCCACCTACTTCAGTTTCTGTATCAGGTACAGTTCCAACCTCCACTGTCACATTTACAGAAAGTAAATCAAGCACAGTTGCAAAAACATCACCTATAGGTAACATCAGCACTAAGACCTCACCTGTAAGTGGTAACTCAAGCTCAGCTGCTCCTTCTCCAACAACACAAACGAACAATAATGGATCGACCGTCACCCCAATCACGCAAAATAATTCCTCAGAGACTGTTACTCCAGTGACTTCTGGCAGTGTCACTTCGTCCGAGATCAGCACCACAAAGCCCAGTCCCACAGGTAAGAGCCGTTCCTTCCCTCAAAGACTGCTTACTTGTGGGGTAGGCATTGTGGAGGGTGGTAGGTGTGTTCTGCAGGCGGAGGGAAGTGGGTATCAAAACACCCAAGGTTTCTTTGACCATGAACCCCTGGAATTAAAAACTCTGAGTCACAAAGGCTAGTAGTGACGGCAGAGACCCTAAAAGATAACCCATGGTTTCATTCTGCTCTCCTTTCCTTCCCACCTGTGCCACTTACAGCTAGATGTGGAATGTCTTTATGAATGTGGACATCATGCCAGCTACCTCTCCAGGGGATTTTTAGAAATCGTTTCAGCTTCTCTGAGGTCCAAACAAGTGCTGTCTCGCCAGCCCCACTGGTCTAGCTCCCTGATCTACCTAAGGAAGGAGTCAGTTCTGCCCTGACTCCTTAACAATGTTAGTGAAAAATGGGACATTACGATGGTGGCTGATCACAGTTTGGAGTTTGAGTTAATTCATGGAATTTGAGCCTGAGGGATAAAGAGCCAAACAACAGCAGTGCTCAAACAGTCCTAGACATGGACTGGGGCCGTTGTCCAAAGGACAGATGTTTTGGGAATACTAAGAGATGGCAATTGACCTCAAGCCAAAATTACTGAAACCACTTGCCTCATTTCCCAATGTTTGGTCTAGAATAGGGGTCAGCCAACTTTATCAGTAAAGGCAAACTAATAAATATTTTAGGTTTTGCGGGCCACAATAGGGGTTCTGTTGCGACTACTCCCCTCTGCCATTTTAACATGAAAGCAGTCATGGCCGATATACACAGGAATGAGCCTGGCGGTATACCAGTGAAACGCTATTTACAAAAACTGAAGACTAGCCAGATTTGAGTCATAGTTTCCCAACCCCTGGTCTAAAATAATCCTCAGATCTAGGCTTGAAGGGTCTACATAAATCCTGTCATTTTCAGGGAGACTGAGGCCCAGCGAGGGTAGCAACTTGCCCAAGGTCAAAGAGCAAGCAGATGTCCCCCTGCACTGACTTCCTCTGGTCTCCCCCCATGTTCTTTGACAGATCTAAGAGATGGATGATTAAACAAGTGGAGCCAGAGCTTGTACAGAACACCTGGGTCCCAGTCTGCTTTCATGTTTGAAGGGCCCGCTCTGAAGGCTAGGCCATCGGGGGCCCAGCTGCACAGCCAGCTCTACTGGAGTCAGGAAAGAGAGCTTTTCTAAGCCATTCCTGCTTCCCCAGACATTCTCCCAGAGCAAGGCAGCCGCCTTGTGTTCTGGCCCGACCACTAGCTCACTGTGGGGAGGGGGCAAATCACTTCTCTCTTGGCTTCACTTTCCCTGGCCGTAATAACGTGACTGAACTAAATAGGCGCCCAAATCCCTTCCAGCTGTACTATCTTGTGCCTTTATTCCTGGCACACAGAACCAGCGGGCAGGTCTGTCCTTCAGTGCCGGAGAGAAAGCCTACCAGGAGTTACTTGTCTGGTGTATCCTGAGTAGAGTTGACTCGGTGTCTTCCCTGGGATTTTCGAAACCATCCTTGCTTACTTACAGCTGAGGCTAGCCTCCCGCATTATCAACATCCCTCGCCAGAGGGTACATTGTGACAACTGATGAACCTTCACAGACACAGCATCATCACCCAAGGTCCACAGGCTACGCTAAGGCTCCCTGTTGCTGCTGCACATTTTGTGGGTTTGGACAAATGTATAATGACATGCATCCATCATACGGTATCATAGAATACTTTCACTGCTCTACCAATTGACTGTGCTCTGCTTATTCATCCCCTACCCTGCCCCCCACCCCTGGCAACCAGTGATTTTTCACTGTTACCATGGTTTTGTTTTTCCAGAATGTCATGTAGTTGGACTCATATGTCAGTCTTTCCAGGTTGGCTCCTTTCACTCAGTATATACATTTAAGATTCCTCCATATCTTTTCATGGCTTGATGGCTCATTGCTTTTTAACTCTGAATAATAATCCACTTTCTGAATGTACAATGGTTTTATCCATATCACCTACTGAAGAACATCTTGGTTGCTTCTAAGTTTTGGCAATTACGAATAAAGCTGCCATAAATATTCCTGTGCAGGTTTTGAATGGACATGTTTTCAACTCCTTTGGGTAAATACCAAGGAGTGCGCTTGCTGGATCCTATGGTAAGAGTATGTGTAGTTTTGTAAGAAACTGCCAGACTGTCTTCCAAGGTGGCCGTACCATTTTGCTTTCCCACCAGTATGAGCATTCATCAGCACTATTTTATTTTTGATTTTTTTTTAAATAAAAGTACATTAGACCCACAGTTATGGAAGGATAGAAGCTTAAACAGGGCGAAAGTATATGCAGTAAGCACTAAATCTCTCTCCTATCCTACCCCTAGGACCCAGACTCCTGTTCCCTTCCCCAGAGGCAACTTCTGTAGCCAGTTTCTCATATCTATCTCCAGAGGAATGTGTGCAAATACAAGCATACATATTTGTATGTTTGTGCATATTATCCTCCTTTTATCACAAAAGGGAGGATGCTCGACACATTGTACCTTATATATAGCTTTTTAAAAAATCAACAATTTCTACCTATGGGTTCATAAGAACATTAACATCTCTTGATCAGTCACTCCATCTTCTCTGAAATCAAAGCCCAGAATCATTTCATTTGACAGAGATGGAGAAAATGGCCAGCCAAGACAACCATTTTCCTTTGATCTAACTCCACTCCCCATTCCTACCACTTCTCCAGAGAGAGGAAAGATGCCCGGTCTGAGAGCACCAACCAGTGATGGAGAAACCATTGCAATATAATTCTCACCATCCATTCAAGTCAGCCATTCAGAAAGCCAGGGGGTGGAGTGTGCCCTCATCACTTCCTCTGCGAACTTTCTATCTGCAGGGTCCCCTTACCACCCCTTTCCTTCTTGTATCTGTATGCCTTGCATGCTAACCCAAATAAAATACCTCCTTTCTTTTGGGGGCTTCCTGCCTGTCCCTATAAAACAATTACTCATAATTCCCTAGAAAATAGGACGCTCTCTTTCAAATGGTACTGGGAAGCCCTACCTGGTGTTAGAGGACCAGATATCAAGGTGCTCAGGGATCCTTGTGATCCAAAGATGCTGAAGATGGAATTAGGAGACTGCTGTCTCTCTGAGCAGACTCTTACCCACCAACCTCTGCCTTTACTGTTGATAAGCACCTGGCTCCAGAATTTCCACAACAGACTCCGTATAGAGGCGTATGCTCTTCAACCAAAGACTAGAACGTGCCCAGGAGGGAGGCAGGAAGATTTTAAAGTATGTTTCTCGGTGTCATCTGTTGTCATTCTGTGGATTTTTAATCTCTTTTTCCTCTCTCTCAGTTCCCAGCAATCCTTGCCAAAGAGGTCCCTGTAAAGGTGGTTCTTCATGTGTGATCCTGAATGATACCCATTTTTGCCTGTGTTCGTTAGGATATTACTATAACTCTTCCACATGCAAAAGAGGTGAGTTACAAGGGATGAACCCTGCAGAGCTGCATTTCAGACCTAAAGTAGAATAGAAAATGCAAAGTAATGTCAAAAAAGAGCCCCCAGAATGGTAGAGGTAGAGGATTTGGGGCACCTGGGTGGCTCAGTTGGTTTAGTAGAGGTAGAGGATAATTTATAGGCAACAAAGGCTCCTGCTTCATCTCAGTGGAAACTAGAGGGACCACAGGGATATTCCAAAAGCCAAACAGGTGTTCATATTTCAGCACTAATAATCTCATTTCTGGGTATCTAAGTAAATGACCCCAAATAATAGAAAGTTTTGTGCATAAAGATGTTTGCTGCAAACTTTTTTCCTTTTAAATAATCAAGACCATGAGAACCAGAAAATGACTCAATGAAGATAACACATTTTTCATAGAGTATTATGCAGCCTCTAAAAGTAATAGTTATTTTTTAAAAAAAAATAGTTATGGGGAGGACGCCCGGCTGGCTCAGTCGGTAGAGATGCAATTCTTGATCTCAGGGTCATGAATTCAAGCCCCACACTGGGCGTGGAGCCTACTCAGATAGATAGATATGAAGACTAGGTAAAAATGCTTTGGAAAGCATTTTTGTACCTATGGGTTCATTTGGAAAAATGCTTATTATGTAACAAAGATAAAGAAGACTCATGGAATTATGACAATGTAAACTATGCATGGAAGAAAAGAACTAGGAGAAATACACCAAAACAAAAATGGTTGCGTTGGGTTGGATGGAATTTTGGGTCACATTTTTCATCTTTCCAGACTTCCTATAATATCATCATATAATGTTTAGAATTTTTAAGGATAATCTATATTTTAAACAAAATGGAAATTACCCCTCTTCACACTAAATATTATAAAAAGATTCTGCTTAAATTTCAGGAACGTTATTCCCTGGAAGTATTACAGTAAAAGTATCAGAAACATCTGATTGGGGAGATAAAAATTCTATGGCCTATCAAAAACTACATATTAAAGTTACTGATTTTGTAAGTATTTTCTAACCTTTCTTCCTATATAAGTGTTCTCCATTCTAACACTTTCTTGCAGCATGGAGGACTGGTGTTCAGGTAGTACACACTGGTTCAGCTATTCCAGTTGCTAAAATAGTGAAAGGCATCCTTACTGGTTGGTAAATTGTAGTTGTCCTAACCCCCCTGGTGCTTGGTTGCCCAGGCCCCTCCTCTGGGACCCTTGGGCCTCCCCATGATCCTGCACCTAGATGGGTAACACCCAGCATGGCAGAGGGCCTTTAGAAGCTTGCTCCAGCCATGCCATACCCACTGATACAGAAGCTATTAGAATTTTTTTTTAAGTAGCCATGCCCTGCGTGGAGCCCAATGCGGGGCTTGAACTCACGACCCTGAGGTCAAGACCTGAGCTGAAATCAAGAGTCGGATGTTTAACCGACTGAACCACCCAGGTGTCCCTACAATATTTTTAAATGGACACATAAATATATGATGTTTTAAAATAAAATTATTTTCATAGAATTGAAAAGATTTTTTTTTCCTTTTTACGATCAAATTTGCATACATTTCTATACCAGTCTGGCTTTTTTTTTTTTTTAATATCTGTTACTTTTCTCCACTATTAAAAATGTCAAAATGAACAATAGCTTCATTTCATTTTGATTATTGTGAGTGAATGTGTCAACATGAAAAGGGATGGAAATCTCCATTCTGGAACCACAGGTGTTAGATCTGAAAGAGCTTATAGAGGACATACAGCCAATGTTTCTGAAAGTTTAATTTTAAAGGGAAAAAACAGTAGACTGTAAATATGTCTTAGAACCCTAAGTGTAGAAACACTTTTAAGAACTAAAGAAGATACTGAAGACTGTATCTTTCAATTCAGAATTATTTTATTACAAAAGAGTTTTGCTAGCAGAATTAGTAGAACATAAAGCATCATTGTCTGAACGATTTACAGATAGCACAGGGAGTGCTAGTGCTCATGACCAAACAGCCCGTGCCTGGTGCTGCTAGGATAAAAACCATGGCTTTAGTAGCCCGGCCTTGGCCTTGGCCCCTTGTCATACAGCCTAAGCATGATGGGCCAGCTGGCCATGACTTACCTCTTATCCTGGACCTACATTCCAGTTGGCCCACTTGGATGATACTCAGTACATTGAGGATAGCAACATCAGTGTGTTCCTATTTCCAGGGAACCCCTCTGTTCTCTTGTGGCTTTACTGAGCAGTGACCACTACATCCCCCCAAGCTTGCTTTGGGTATGGGTGTCCAAAAGACCCCTCCTCCTACACACCTGTGCCCTTCAGATACCAATTTTAAGACTTGATCTCAGTCAGGTCTTGATAATTTCAGAGGGACCAGGGAGGGAATAGAGCATTCTTCTAATTTCCGGGAAGCTTTTCTTCTGAAGGGGATATGCCAGAACTCTTTTGAGACTCCCCAGAGACCAAAAAAAAAAAAAAAAAAAAATTGACTTTCTTCAGGGTCCAGGGAGGGAATAGAGCATTCTTCTAATTTCCGGGAAGCTTTTCTTCTGAAGGGGATATGCCAGAACTCTTTTGAGACTCCCCAGAGACCAAAAAAAAAAAAAAAAAAATTGACTTTCTTCAGGGTCCTCTTAGCAGACTTTGTAGCCGGGACAGTTCTAGCTCAGGCCCTGTGACGTCTCGCAGGGTCCATTTTCTACCCAGCTGGATCCAAATGGACAGTCTGCAGAGGGATTTGGAGTTTCCCTGTTGCATATGTGCCTGGCATTTTATGTGTAATATTTCAAATTCTGAAAACAGCCCAGTGGGGAAGATGGTACTACGGTGCTGTTTTGCTGATGCGGCTACCGAGGATCAGGAAGGTTAAGTAACTGACTGCAGGTCACCCAGCTGATGAATGAGGAGGTGGGGATTTGAACTCAGACCTGCCTGACCACAAAGCTGCTTCTCAAACTCCTTCTCACCTGCTGGCTGTGTTGTGCAGTAGAGGCCCGGCAGTCCTGTTTGGATGGCTCCTGCCTTCTTGTCCAGACTTAACAGCCCTTCAGTTTGAGACGTGTATATCCCAACATCCTCAAAGGGTGACCTGGAAGATTTAAAAAAAAAAAAAAAATCTCCTATGCCAGATGCTAATTTTGTAATCTCTCTTCTTTGGGAATAAGAAAATTAAATGGGCAATGGGCAGTGGGTAAATGAGAGGGACCTTGGAGGTCATCCAGTGAACTTGTTCCTAAGTGAACTCCCAGGCCTCTGATGGTTTACAGAAATACCGGCTATTTCTAGTATTTAAAAGAATTAAAAGGCATGTAGATGTATTCTGGATATAAGGCTACCCAGATGAATTAGAGCATCAAATTTATTTGAATTTGACTAGAATAAAAGAGAAATAACATCTTTTCTAAAATGACATTGGTTGCCATGATCTTTAAAGCATTAGGTCGCCATGAGGAGAAAAATAATAAAAAGTCATGGATTATGAAAAGGTTGCACCAACCCAGTTCAATGCTCATATAATAAAATACGGAGGTTGGGGCCCACAGAGGGGAAGACATGTCCAAGCTCATGTCTTTCGCATTTAATTCATTCAGTCATCGGTCAGCCAGTGTTTGTAGAACATTTCCTGGGGATTGCCTTGTATTGAGTGCTATGGGATGGGGGTGGGGGAGGTTATGTCATCAGAAAGAGAAAACAAACGCCCATTCTTGGAATAAATGAACTTACATCCTCATTGGGACCCTCACCCCACCTCCACCTCACCCCTGCCAGAGGTTCCAGCTTTATCTCTGGCCCCTTCTCTGCGAGTATCTAGAGTCGTCTGCTCTCAACACAATTCTGCCTAGTAAGACGTACCTGTGCTGGGGCCCCGTCCAGCTCCCAAAGCCATGTGTCATATATTCCATCTCGTTTGATAACATTATAGCCCTATGCGGTAGGAATTTGCTGCTTTCTCCAGGTTTCCGAGGAGAAAGGTGAAGTTTAAAGCCACTACGCAAAAGCTGACATGGAGAAATTTGACTTCAGATATTCTTCCCAGTTCAGCCTGCTCCCTTCTGAGGCACGCTGCTTCTGAACATTCATGTATAGACTCCTTCCTCCTCTCCCCATCCTGGCACCGATTCCAAAATGGCTTTAAGGGTGGTCTCCTTTATGAAGCCCTCCCTGGTTCTCGGCAACTGGAAGAGAGTGTCTTCGAATTTCTGTGGTAGATTGTGTTGCCCTATGGCGCTCACCTCTCCCCACTTCACGGTGTAGTCCCCTGACTCATCACAGGGCAGGACCCGCATGTCTCCGCCATTTGTTTCTGGCATGATGCTTGGCAAGGTGGGCAAGTAAATAAGTGTTCCCTGGGAGAATTGATGAGTGCACGAAGCATGCTTATAGAGAAGCCTAACAAACGTGCAAACCAAATATGCAAAACTTCACGGGTACCTTGAAAACACAAACTGAGTAAGTTAGTCACCTTATTTTTAAAAGTATGATCATTGGTTTGGCTGGGTGCCCTAGGTCTTTTTCCTGGATAACTCTGACATAGAATCGTATTATTTTAGAACAAAAATCAAATGGGGACAAATTGCTGTGATGAGCCACGTGTATTTATACAAATGAGGTTAGAAATGTGTTTGTGTGAAAACTCAGATACAGTATCACATTTTCCCCCTCTTTGTGGTAGTTATTAAATCTGTTCTCCTCCTCCACAGTTTAAGAACACATTTGGCAATTCTGATTACGGACAGACTGTAATTAATAATGTAAGGTAAGTTTGCTATGGACCGATGGGATACTTCGGAGGCAGGTGTCCGTTTGCCTGACTTCTGGTCTTCTCTTGAGTTATCTGAGTCCCTCCAGTGGCAAGTCACAAGAAGAGGTGGTCAGTCTGAGTGCTGCAGAGGGCTCTGCTTTCCATGTCACACTGACCCTGGCCTCGTTGGGCAGGCAGGCGCTTGGGGCAGCAAGATGCTGTCTGTGATTGGCTCCTCGGCAACTTGTACACATGGCCCAGGGTATCGCCCTGACCAGTTTGTTTGGTTTCATTCCTTGGCTAAAACCACACCTGGTCAACCCCTAGAATGTGCATTCCAGAGGGCAGGGGGAGAATGAATGGCTCATGGTCATCTCTTTTCTCAAGGGGCGGCGGGGAGTGAGGGAGACAGGAATATCCCAGTCGCATACCTGGCTACTGAAGGGCCAGCAGTGAGCTCTCTTCTGCAGGAAGAACAAGCTGTTACTGAATGTATCAATATGCAATGACTGGTGTTGGATGCTTATTTGGGGACCCAAAGAGGCAGAGGAGTCTCAAGAAGTTACTGATTCCATGGTGGCCTTCTCTGAAGCACATTAATACACATGCGCTGCAGGCCAGGGAAAGAATGTTCTAAGATGAATGGAGTTGTACAGAAAAAGCAGCCCTAATGTAGTTAGGTTTTATGGTTTTACTGTTGCATCTGTCTTTATGAGCTTTGTCAAATCCTTTGTGAAATAAGACACAGTATACATATTTGATACATACAAATTCAGAGGAGACGTCCTATAAAAGTGGTGAGTTTTGAGCTTGGCAGTGAACAAGGGGCCACTGTGGTTGGTAGCCAGGAGGGCAGCAGGCGGCCTAATGGGAGTCACGGGGCTCACTTGGCGAGGGCAAGCAGCAGCAGAGGCCCTGAAGCTGGACGTAGGAACGCAGCAGACTGCTGCTAAGTGCTCTGCCCTGTTTCAGGGCATGTTTTAGGTTTGGTTTAGCGGACAGCAGGGAGTTCATGCATCAGGGATGCCTGGATAAAGACAGGATCAGTGAGCTGTGGTGGCGTCAGCCACATCTGTACTTGATTCCTGGCCTTGGCGCTTTCTTGCTGTGTGACTGGGCAGGTGTTTCAGCCTCTCTAAAGCTTTGTTATGTCGTCTGCATTGCTGGGATGATCTGATCCACTTCCTGGAACCGCGGGAGGAGTAAGGGGGATACCATGTGAAAGACGACCCGCACAGAGTGACTGGCGCATAGTCGATTTCAACACGTGGCAGTTCCTGTCTGTGTCCCTTCCCGAACAGGGAACCCTGCAAGTGTGATGGAGAGCTGGTCCCGGGGAGGGGGGGGGGTTCCCCGATACTGTGGCATCTGTTTGCTTTTTAAGGACTTACTGAAAGTGACCCAGGAGCATTTGGAGGCAACCTTCTACTTGTGAGCTCAGTGTTCCAGAGACGAACTAGCTCCGGCACCTGAGGGGGTGTGCAGGGTCCTCTCTCACCTAGAAAGGCATTTTTTCGGCTCCGGTCCAGTGCTCTCTGCTCTGCTCCCTGAGCTCTTTCTCTACAGCACCCATGTCGGAATTGGAAGGATCTTCAGAATTTCTCTTGCAAATCTCTCTTCGGAAAGAGGAGGAGACTCAGGCTCGGGGAAGCTGTGACTGGTCTTGGGCCACAAAAGGTGGTGGCCATCTTGGGTCTAGATCTCAGGCCTCTTAGTGCCAAGGCACTACTGCTCTGACCATTTATGCTATGCCGTTCTGTTATTAAATATGCAGTGGTTCCATTGTTCCTTTCATTGTAATATTTTGCCCCCTAAATTGGAGTGTGCGCTAGTAGGTTCTTTGAATGAATGAATTGTGGATGGCTTTTCTTTCCTAGGCCCTGCTGCAAAATGATACCAGAGATTTCTGGTCATTTTTCAACTGATCTCTTTATCAAATGACTTGTATCAAATGTCCTTTGCTCACTGCCCTGTACATTCTATGGCCACCTCTAAATCCTATCATGAATGAGTCATTTTCAGCTAGAATCTGAAGCCCATTTTGTTTTTTGCACTCCTTTTGTGGTGACCGTTCCTAAAAAACAGGATTTGGTTCTGATTTGGGATTTTGGATTTTCTCGATAGTTCTGAAGAACTTACATGGCTGTAAACGTTTCCTAAATGGGTTGGCCTATGTTCCAAGCTTCTGATGTTTCTTCAAAAGTCATGAGTCTTGAAAACACACAAGCAGAGGTTGGAGAGGGAAGGAGTTTTTGAAAGTCCTTTCTCCCCGCTCTGTCTCTTTTAGTGGTTGTATCACTTGATTCCTCTTGGACAGTGGAAGAAGTAGAACTTGGCTCAGCGGTTCTTGGGGCGCAGGCACTCAGTTTCTGGGGCTCTGATGTGGTGGTCTTTGCTCATGCTCCCTACACCCCACCCTCCTTATTTCAGTGTATCACGTGTACCAGCTCAGCAAGAGACCTACTCTTGATTTTCTACAGAGAGGGACAAGTTAGTTTCAGATGTTACCTGTTCTACTTCTGGTTAGCTCCAGGCTTCTAGCTCCTAAAGAGGATTGCCCACAACTTTTCTCAATATCCTCCAACAGGGGGGCACCTGGGTGGCTCAGTCGGTTGAGCGGTTGCCTTCCGCTCAGGTCATGATCCCAGGGTCCTGGGATCGAGCCCCGCATCAGGGCTCCCTGCTCCGCGGGAAGCCTGCTTCTCCCTCTCCTACTCCCCCTGCTTGTGTTCCTGCTCTTGCTATCTCTCTCTCTCTCTCTGTCAACTAAATAAATAAATAAAATCTTAAAAAGAAAAAATCCTCCAACAGGACATTGTTTAGCTAGAGATGGCCTCTGAGCACACATCGAAGAGAGCTAGATCTCTGGGCCTATAAACCGCCATCTTACTGCACCTCCAGGTCCCCCGTATTTGGGCTCCAGTTGTGGATATAGGACAGTGGGTCAGGACTAGAGGAGACAGGAGTCTGGGAGGTTCTGAAGACCAGTCTGTGGATCCTTCGGTTCAGTTCATCAAGTGATGGGTTCATTTCATTTTCAGCACCTCTTCTTCAGCAAGATCAGAAGTGCGTGCTGGTGACAATGATGTTGTGGTAGAGGTCTTAAACATCTTCACAGAAACTACAAAAGAAACTGAGAAGACTGTGGCTGAATCAATTCAAAAAGCAATTGAAAACAACTTGGCTGGCATCACAAGATATAATTGTAAGCATTCGATACTTCTCTTCGAGGTTTCCTTGAAGACCTACCTTTTTGTAAACATTTCCATTCTCTGTAAAGGGGGCAAGAAAAGCAGGACACTTGAATCCGCAGATGGGCCCAGTTCCGGTGAACCAGGCGTTCGTCCTCCCTCTCCTCCCTTGCTTGGTTCTACTCCTTTCCAGCCATTCCCCTCTCCCCACCACGTCATCACACTGACCAGTTTGCTCCTCTCTTTGGAAGGTGGGAAGGTAGGAAGAAAGGAGAAACAAGAAGGCTTTATACCAAGCTGCAGCTTCCAAATGATCCCAGAAAGCCTTCCTTGCCCTGTTTCCCCTTTAGGCTGACCCCCCAGCCCCCCAGCACAGCTGGAACAATTCACTCTTGCTGTGTTACAAACCACCCCCAAGCTTAGTGGCCTGAAACAACAACCATTTATTTATTGCACTGACCTAATTCCTCTCCCTATTGTCTCACTGACCATATTTCTGAATTGTCTGTGCCTCCCAGTTCAAACTCTGTGTGATTATTACGGTTGTGAAGAGGAAAATAAGCAAGGCAACTGTAGCAATGGTTTGCTGTGTAAATGCAAGCAGGGGATGGAAAGACCTAACCCCCAGGTCCCTATGTGTGTTGGTGAGTGTTCCACTTGCTTGTTAAGTGTTCTTCACAACGCCTACCTTCTCTCCTTTTTCATTTGCAAAATACAAGCTTTACTGCTCATGTTTCCATGTGCATTCCAGAGTCTGAGGGGTGTGGGTTTGGGCTTTAGACACACGAACCTGGCAAGGCAGCCCGTGTGCATCTTCACAGGAAGCGTGCCGTGCGCGCAGCCAGGCAGCACCCCACTTTACCCAGAAAAAGCAATATTAAAAAATTGTGTTCTGTGACATATCACTTTGGGGTTGAAGGGGTTGTTTTTGAAAATAACTCAGAAATTTTCTTTTGAAGCTTCTGCTATAAAGTGTCCCAACACCTGCAATGCAGACAACAATATGCAATGCTTAGTGAATGAGAAGAGCGGGAGACCTGAGTGTGTGTGCCTGTCAGGCTACAAGGAATATGTTCCTGGGACCTGTCAAGAGTAAGAAGTCGCTCCTTTTTCATCTTACCACAACAGAAGCTAGCCACAAAGGATAGAACGTATAGACATATGCATGGGTTTAGGGTCAGGATGTTGGAATGCTGCCATACGTTGGTAGGTATAAGAGCTCCATCATATCGTCGTCAGCATTGATGGTTCTTGAACATTCTCGGTGTGCTAGGAACCGCAACACTGTTAGGAACGAATTCATTCCCCATCTGCCAGGGAGCAATGTGAAGCTCAGAGAATGTAAATAAAGCCCCAGCTTACAGGGCAGCAATTAGGTGGCAGAGCCATGGGGTCTTGCAGCCGAGCACCCCCCGGCCCTCGCCGCCGCCCCGCTGCAATGCTCCATGCCTCTGGGCTTCAGCTGAGTTTGAATTGCTGAATCTTCCTGAAGCTCAGAGGGTGGAGGGTTCAGTCAGTAGGAAATGGGACCAATTGGAATTGTGTCCCCTCTTCAGCCTTCCAGAGCTCCATGGAAGGTGCTCACCTGGAAGAACGGGAGCATAAGGAAGAAAAGAGAAAGAGGAGAAGGAGAAAGGGGGCGGGTAGAATGAAAGGCAGATGGAAAGGAAGACATGGTGGTTGGGTGGGAACTCTGACATGAGCCCCGCAGAGACTGTACCATGGTTTCCATCATTGTATTTTAGGTGTGCATTTGGCTACAGCGGAGTCAACTGTGAAGACAGTGAGTATAAAAGTTCTGCTTTGTTATTAAGCTTCTGAGAAATAGGGAACACATTCAAAATTCTGCCCAGGACTCCAAAGTCTCCAGCTCCCTTCATAAAGAGCGAGACAATCTGCCTGCAGTTTGTGTTCTGGGTCATGCCGTCCCATGCCTGCCTTCAGATCCTGGGCAGCAGCACCCCGTTATAGAAAATAACAGAACCCAGCCCAAGAGGTGGGCTCTGGGTGTCCTAACATTCTGTTTATTTTCTGTCACTAGCAAGGATAAAAGACCAGTATATTCCAAAAATGTGTGTGGTCATGGGAGAGCAGAACTAAAAACCGTTTGAATATTCCAGTCTTTCAGTCCCCGAGCTATTTACTAGCTTGTGATGTGTTGTTGCAAGCTCAGTTGCTTTCGTTCTCTCCCACACCCCACCCCCACCAGATCGGGACAATACTAACTTTATATTTTTAATTATATTACATTTTAAATTTTACATAAAGACTGGTCATCCAAGGTGAAGGAAACATTACTCTTGGCCTCTCAGCCAGCCACAAAGTTAGTGATGAAAAATGCTCTCACTTTCTATTGTATTTTGTTGCAAGGCTGGATTTGCTCAGTTTTTCCTTCCTTCCGGGCTTTCGGCATGCACACCTACAAAATGAGAGGTTGACCTTTGAGGTCAACCAAAATGACCTTTGAGGTCCCTTTCCAAACATGGTCTATGCCCCTATGAATCCAGGTTGGAGGTGGCATATATGGCAGTCATGAAGCAGAAATCTGAGACGGAGGGTTCTAGAACAGCACTGTCCAATAGAAATGTAACGGAGCTTCATATTTAATTTCAAATTTTAAAAATCCTAACTACATTTATTAAAGAGAAATAAGTGAACTTGATTTTAATAACATTTTATTTCACTTCATATATCAAAAATATTTTTCGACATGTCATCAATAAGTGTTTTTCATGAGAAATTTTAGGTTTGTTTTCTTTCATCCTGCGTGTTTGAAATCTGCCGTGGGTGCTGTCCGCACAGGCAGCTCATAGCCACATTTGCCGTGCTCGGTAGTGCCAGCCAGAGCAGATCTAGAGGAAGAGAATGGTCGCCACGAGCTCTCCCCTCACTGATTCTATGAAGCCTCTGTTAGTGACAAATTTAACTCCAGCCTCGTTCCCCCTGCTTATCTGCAAGGTCAGACGTGGTGGGCAGGCAGAGGCAGCAGAGGTTAGGATGGGATGTGCCCGTCTGTTAATGTCTCATCTCCCGCGGAGCCCAGGAAGGCCCTGCCCCCCCCATCACGGCCTTCTCTGTTGTTTATGGTCTTTTATCTGGCAAGGCAGCCTCTTCCGATTGGGTTCTGAAGACATAGTACCCGCCACAACCTGCCACCCAAGCTGGCCCCGGGTGGGGGCGGGGACTACAGCCTGATTGTCTTCACAGCCAGGAACCTCTGGGAACCTCTGGGCACCTGTGCAGTAGACAATGAGGGCTGCTTGTGGGAGGCTGTGCCTACTCTTTGCTTTTCCTTTTCAGAATTTCAGCTGATCCTCACTGTCGTGGGCACCATTGGCGGTGCCCTCATTCTTTGCCTGCTGATTGCATTGATCTTCTTAGCAAGGTATGGAGTGGACGTACCCCTTTCCCTAGGGCTTGGCACCACCGGCATCATGCTCCAGGTTCAAAACATACCTAGCCTTGCTGGGGCAGGAGAAGGGAGATGAGGCGATACCTCTCTAATACTGTTGGCTTTTTCTCTTACCTTAATTTGCTTTGGCTTATATAAGCCATACATGATTACTGAAGAAAACAGAAAAATGTGTAAAGGAGCACAGGTAAAAAACCACTCACAAAACTTACCACCCTGAGGCAACTAACATTTTGGCATATATCTTTCCAGATTTTTTTCTTTTTAAATGATGGTATAGACATAATTGTGTGTCCTTTGTGTGAGTTTGTTGTTTTTTGTTGTTGTTGTTTTTGGTTTTTGCTTGTTTTAGAGACAGCACGTGTTGGGGGGTGGGAGGGGAGATAGAGGGAAGAATCCCGAGAGCACGGAGCCCGACTTGGGGCTCGATCTCACGACCCTGAGATCATGACCTAAGCTGAAACCAAGAGTCAGAAACTTAACCAACTAAGCCACTCAGGTGCCCTTTGTGTTAAAAAAATATATATATTGTTAAGGTTTATTTTTGCTTAACACTATAATGTGACATAACAACCATTTTCTGATGTCACTGAAAGTCTGTGTTAGCAGTTTTCAACCCCACTGATGTTGTCAAGGATCATTCGTCAAGGCCCTGGGCCCAGGACCCTGCGGCAGCGGGCCTAATACCAGCTGCAGCTGAGCCCCGTGGCTTGTTCTCTCCGCAAAGCCATTTCGCGGCTTGGTGCCTTAAGTGCTCTGCCTAAGAACTTGAGTAGCGTCCTTTCATTTATTCAACAAATATTTAGATAAAGTTCCCTCCATTAACTGGAGAGAGAACACTGTTATCTCTGTTCCATTAGAAACATGCCGAGTGGGATGCACTTTGGTAAAAACAAGCTGCTTGTTTGTAACATTTCACTCCCATCTTATATTTTGGCAAAATACGTATTTTGCACTATAATGTGAGAGGATAAATGATTTTGTTTCTTCTTCTTCTTTTATTCCAATTTGATATTACCTCTTCCCCAAAGCCTTTATTATAAGGATGCAAAGCTGAGAATTAGAAGTAGGACCTTCCCTTTTCTAGGAAGATGGCCAGAACATTCTGTTCTGGAGCAAGGCTGCGTCTTCCTTCCTTAGGAGGATTGCCTAACTGTCTTGGGTCTCCAGCATCCTCAGGGGCTGCATGTGGAACCTTGTGACCTCACGACAGCTATGTTTCTCAGCTCCTGCTTCCTGCTGCAGAGCTGGGTTTGCTCCTAGTTCAGCCTCAGATTCGTGACTCTTGGGAACACATTAAGAATGACAATTTCTTGCCTATTTCAAAGGGAATGAAGCTTCTCCTCTGCTCCTCTCCTTAGACAGGAGTGCTAAAGGGCGAGAACTCTGTTGTAGGCTAGGCGGGCTACCGGGGTCACAGGGTGAGTGGGTCTTCCCTTAGGACGTTTCCGGTGGGTGACGGTCATCCTGGGAGTGCCCTGTGGACATCACAGATGCAGCCGGTCCAGTCTGCACTCCAGCGGTCCAGGGCACTGCAGGGGCAGGTCTGTGGGCCAGAAGGCAGGAAGGGTCACCGTCAGAATTCATCGGGGGTGGGTACCTCCCTCACCTCCAAGCGCTTCTACTGGGCCTTGAATACTTACACTTGAGGTCCTTGAGGGGCTACAGCAGACCCTGGGAAATGCCTTTTTCTCCTTGTAAGATCTTTATACCTTGAACTTGTTTTATTGGCTGAGGTACTTCTGTAGACATTGACTTTGCTTGAATGAAAAATTGTATCACAGATCATCTTTTCTCTTTGACTTCCATATATAACTCAAAAGCACACTTAAGAATAGTAACATTATTAGCAAAATTTGCATGAGACCAACAGCACTGGGTGGCATTGTTGGATCAGTGTTAATGTTCTGGTGTTGATGGTTATGGAGAGCTTATGAGGAGACTGTCCTAAAACTTAGGGAATGTACACTGAACGGAGTAGTGAAGTATTACGGGTAGTGGGGCATCAGGGCTAAGCACTTATTCTTAATGGTGCAGAAATGTTAACAGTTGGGGCATCTCGGTGAGGGACGCATGGAAGCTCTGTGTAATTTTTTTGGTTTGTACCTTGTATGTAAATTTGAAATTATTTCAGAATTTGAAAACATTTTTTTAAAAGAATACTAACACTTGCGTCAAGGAACTTCTGCCATTGTCAGATCCTAATTCTTGTTACCATTTATAGCCAAAAGAACAAAAACAAGAATACTGAAGAACAGAACTTGATTGAGAACGACTTTCAAAACCTGAGACTGCAGCAGACGACAGGGTTCAGCAATCTCGGAGCAGATGGGAGCATCTTCCCTAAAGTCAGGGCAAATGTCTCCAGTCAGCCACCGAATCCCTATGCACACGGGAGAAGCATGCCCCGCCCTGACTACTAGGTGAGTCAGTGGGCTTGGGAGGGAGTGGAATGCCCAGGGCAGAGCAGGGACCGGGCCATTGGGTCATCCAGTCCTGGCTGCAGGCCTCTTTGTTTTTGTTTTCCAATCAAAAGAGAAAGATTAGAGGATGCCCCCTCCTATTGTTTTTTTGTTTTTTGCTCCCTCCTATTGTTAAATGGCCACCACTTGGGTCCCTAACACTGACCACCTATGTGACTTTAGACACATCACTTAATTTCCCTGGCCTTCTATTTCCTCAGCTATAAAAAAGAAAAACAATTTAGATGCCCTTAAGGTCCCTTTACATTATAAACTTCCACGGATATGACTCCAGTCGTTGTAATGACAATTCCCAGGCTGTTTGAGGATCTAGGACCCAGGTCAGGCCTGGGAAGAACTGTTGGATGTAAACGTGGTTCTGTCCGATCCTTCTAGCCTGCCCATATCAAGGCAAATCTCTCCTTTCCTCCCCTCCCAGACCTCAAGGCATAACCCCATCAATTTCTACAGAGATAAGGCAAGTGAGGCTGGTGCTATTTTATTTCCCTTGGGAGGACTATTCCTTAGATTTGTGTTGGATCACCGTGCCAGCATTGCTTAGTGTGGTCTTGAATGTATCTTTAAGAAGCAACTTCGATGGGGAATGGCGCCAAGGGGACTGAGTTAGAAGGAAGGAAGGTGATGATGAGGCCAGAGAAAAGAGAGGTTAAAAGGAGAGCAGCAAGGAGAGAAATGACTTCCTAACGAAGTGAGAACGGGAGGAAGGGAAAGGGGGAGGGATGGGGGGAAGCCTAACCAGAAGAGTGGAAAAGTAAAGAGGATGAAGGAGGCAAAGGATGCAGGAGGGCGGCAGAGAGGACGGAGTATGGAGCAGAGACTCAGCGCTCTCCGTGCACATTTCACTTCTGCAGACTTCCCCCGGAAAGCACACCACCCGCTGAGGATTTCTTAACACACTATGACCATCCTGGGGAAACGTGGCTTATTTCTATTTTGAAATCCCATGATTTATTTTGCACATAAAGTTTTCTTAAGTCATGGAAGTCTAAATAATGTTTCGTGTGTGTACAAGGGGTTGACTTGCACCAGGAGCGCCATGTTGGGTCAGACGCATGGTCTAGTCAGCAACAGCCAAGAATGGTTGTCCTATGGGAGTGCCGGCTGGCCCCACGCAAAGTGAACCTTAACCAGCAGACTCATTACAAACCTCCTTTCCTCCTGATGGGGAGAGCTTTACATCAAGCATAATCTCTAAAGAGAACCAACCCCTTAGAGGTAGAATAAGCATGGGATTTAGAGCCCGGGTTTGAAGCCTTGCCCTTCTGTTACTCGTATCAGCTGTGTGATCTTTGACAAGTTATTCGACTTCTCTGGGTTTGTTTTCTCAGCTGTGAAATGGACATACGGATTTTTCTCTCATAGGATAAAAATCAAATAAGCTAATACGGACAGGGAACCTAGAACAGTGACTGTTCTAATTTGAAAAATAGTATTCAAATACTGTTAACTGAAGTAATGTTAATAATTTGTTAATCTAATTTTTCTCATAGGATTCAGTTGCAATACTTCTAAGAGTTTCTTTTTCCCCCCTCTCTCTTTCTCTCTTTTTGTCTAGAATGGTAAAAATTGGGGACCATCCATGGCCCTTGACCCAATGTAGGAGCTTTTCTTTTGAGTGTTTAAAAGGCCACTGGAAAAGTGAGCAGCCGGGAGGATCTGGCCTTTGGAATTCCTCTGCCACCCAGGACCCAGCCTCTCTGGATAAAGTTGTGACTGCTTTCAATGAATGCAGCTTGTTTGCTAAGTACCTAGGAAATTAAATGCACATAGATGCTATTAGCACTTGTAAGATAGTTGATTTTGTCCAATCAGTACAGTGGTTAGGTTTCTGGTTTTGTTTCTCTTTCCTGGTGGGGCAACAATAACCATTTCCAATCTAGAGGAAAGCCCCCCAGGATTGTTGACTCCTGGGAGAATGTTGCTTTGAGTTGATAGCCTACAGATCTGTAACCTAATTCTGAGAGACTCTTAACGTGCCAGCTATGGCGGTTAAGGGCATGAGAAGAAATACCATCTTTTAAGGTTCTCGGGCTCATTCTCTAATAAGTTAAAATAGGATGCTACTTCGGTCCCTCCAGTGTAGGCATTTCATCACCCTTGCTCTGCCAGGAGCTTGTGACCTGGCCTCACACCAGGGAGACAGAAAAAAGACCTGTCTCTCAGCTTTGGGGGGAGAAGTGACTGGGAATGCAGGATCTTTTTGATGTTAACTAGAGGGCCCAGACTAGAACTGCCCACCATGGAGTACATCCTAGAGTTTTTGAAATGCCAGTAGGTGGTAGAGGTGAGGAGGAAAAAAAAAACCCCAAAACCCATAACCAGGAGTGAGAGGAACAGAGGCAGAAGGGAGCTGGGCTGGGAGGATGACTATGGGAGAACGCTCGCTGGATCTACCTTCATCCTCAGATCCTCCTCCTCAATGAGCAAACAGACATTTCCTCCAGTTCATGTCCAACGCACGACTTGGAGCCTAAAGAAGTGTGAAGACAACACCCCAGGGGCAAGAGCTGGAGGTCACTTTGAGAAATTGCAGATTCTGTTTGGTTGATGGTGAAAGAGGGAGCTCGTGCTCTGGCTGCTCGGCTCCAGATGTCCGGGCTCGGGACGCAGATTGCAGAGGTCCTTCATGGAGGCCCCGGCCTTCCCTGTGGCCGCCAGCGCGCACACAGCCACACTCAGCACGTGCTGTCTTTAATGTTAATAGTGTCCTTGTTTATGTCTAATGTCTGGTCCCCTTGCAAGTTATTTTAATTTGTTGTTACTATTATTTGTTCTCGACTATTAACTGTAAGAGGTAACAAAGTGTCTTTGGTAGGTGGCGTCCTTCCTTGTGTTTGGGCCCTTTGGTGATGCACGTAGCAGTGAGTCTCTCTCCCTTTCTCTTTTCTTTCTTTTTTTTTTCTTTCTTTCTTTCTTTCTTTCTTTCTCTTTCTTCTTTCTCTCTCTTTAACTTAAAAAAAAAAGATTTATTCATTTATTTTTAAAGCGGTGGGGAGGTGCAGAGAGAGAGGCAGGGAGAATCTCAAGCAGACTCCCCACTCAGCATGGAGCCGACACGGGGCTTGATCTCATCACCCTGAGATCATGACCTGAGCTGAAATCAAGAGTCTGACACTTAACCAAATGAGCCACCCAGGCGCCCCTAGTCTCACTTTCAATAGCAAACATGACACATGGCAAACTAGATTGATATCTGCAGTCCTCATTAGGGGCTGTTAGATCACCCAGGGTAATTTTTAATTGTGTAGTAGATGTTTCTGGCTGTTTCCCCATTTACATCCTACTTCTCTCCCATTATGAAGCAGCCAAGCATTTTGGGTGGGACCAATCTGACCCCCAGCTCCAACGGCAGGTCTTGGTTAGCCCAAGCCAATCAGTGGAACCCCATTCCGCCTGCCAGTGATAGGTTTAGTGAGCACATGGCATAAGTGGACACAATTAGAATAAAGCCTTAATTTTAGTAGGAGGCTTGGAGAAAGAAACTGTTCTCTTAATAAAGTGGGCTTAAGGATGTGAGGCCTCAGACTGCTTCAGTTTTGCTCAGCTGACACACGGAATCATGGAAAAATGGAGCAGGAGCTCTGATCAGACCATGCCTGAAGCATCTGGACTTTACTGTTGGTCCACTGTGAGTAGTTCTTTCTATTTTTGGAGCTGAAAACATCCTCACTGACACCACTCATGTTTACTCTTGTGTTTACAAGGCTAGGTGGTAAATGGGATAAAAGAAACACTCTTAGGAGCTATTAATACCTGTAAAGACATTAGCCATTAGTCAGTTTACAGCAGCAGAAGTAATGTAGATGTAACTTAAAATTGGTTGACTTTTTAAATACTTTTTTTATGTGAGAAAGTGCAAGAGAAAGCACGAGCTGGGAGGAGAGGGAGAAGCAGGCTCCCTGCTGAGCAGGGAGCCTGATGTGGGGCTCGATCCCAGGACCCCGGGATCATGATCTGAGCCAAAGGCAGACACCTAACGACCTGAGCCACCCACGCACCCCTACATTTGAAGATGATTCTGGATTCAGTGTTAGAAGCAGGCTGTTGGAACCTCTCTTCTAAAGAGTCCTACCTTCCTTGTGGCCCACTGCACCTCAGCATGCCAGTTTCCATCGCTTCTCGAATGTCCTGGGCCATACAAACTGGGCTTCATGACCAGAGTATCATCCATTTTTCACAGACTTTCACTGCTATTGTTTAAATAAAAGGAATGCTCTAAATATGTGTATGTGTAATGTTTATGAAAATGACTTTCACATTCAAAGTTGCTTTTGATTCTTTCATAATATGACCTACAATTCATTTGTTTCTGCTCACTGGGAACTTCGCAAAGGTTTTCCAAACTGATTGTCCCACAGCCTTGGAGGGTTGTCAGAATGAACTTTCTAAGATGCGAATCTGGTCACGATGCTCCCTTGCTTAAGGCTTTCAGGGGTTCTCCACTGAGAGAAGAAAGCTCACAGAACTGAGGCTGACTCTCCTGGCTAATCACTGGTCACCGGGCAGGTCCCACCAACCACTCGAGCTTTGCCTGATGCCCCCGCCCCACCTGAACCTGCTGCTCCACAAACAACCTCTTCATACCTCCATTTCTCCACTCATGCTGTTCCCTGCACTGGGAAAGCCCTTTTCTTTTTTTTTAAAGATTTTATTTATTTTTCAACAGAGAGAGAGACAGCGAGAGAGGGAACACAAGCAGGGGTAGTGGGAGAGGGAGAAGCAGGCTTCCCGCTGAGCAGGGAGCCCGATGTGGGACTCGATCCCAGACCCTGGGATCATGACCTGAGCCGAAGGCAGACGCCTAACGACTGAGCCACCCAGGTGCCCGGAAAGCCCTTTTCTTAAAATCTTACTTTAAAAAACTGGCGGGGGGGGGGGGGCCTGGGTGACTCAAGTCAGTTCAGCATCTGCCTGAACCTTCAGCTCAGGTCATCATCTCA